CAGAGTGTGGGGTGTCAGACCCCAGCTGGATGTCCCACTCTCTGACACATGCCCTGCAATTTATGGGACAGTTAAAAGCTTTCTAAGATCTCACCCAATCGGCCGTATTCCCCTCCGAGATGTCAGCGTCCCAGAACTGGAAGAGCTCGTTGCACCTCGGAACAATAGGCAGATCCCCTGTGGGCATTTTGACATCAGCCCAAACAAGGGAGGTGTGGAAACACACATCCTCTCAGTTTCTGTGCAACGTTCTTGTACCCCAGGGGCCTCACCTCCAGCCCTCGCTGTGTGAGGGTGGGCTGCGGTGAGGAGGAGACTGCGACTCATCTCCTGTTGCCCTGCTTTTTTGCTAAGGCTTTCTAGGCCCAGTTTGAAGACTGGTTGCAAGCCCTCTCACCCCACTTTTCCATGACCGCTGCTTTCGTTATATACAGCATCTGTCAAACACTTCAGAAGAGAGTTTGACAGGATCTGGGCCATGGTGAACAGTGGGAAAGACGCCCTGTGGAGAGTGAGGAACATGGGGCTGTTCAAAGGCATCGAGGTCCCAGTCAAGGCAGCAGGTAGCCTGGCCCTGTCCATCACCCGAGAGAGCTATCACCTCAGAGATCTGTGGAGAGAAGGGAGGGAGGAGGCAGAAAACCTGTGGGAAATAGAGGGCATAGGACAGTATCTCAAGAAGCTGGGAAAAACATGATCATGATAACCACATGCAGTACAGACATCTGACTGGTTCACTCCTTGAGCTCAGTGATCTCTGTCCTGTTTCAGCAGCTCAGGGAGTTCAGGCTGTGTGACCCAGCAGGGACAGACAGCCGCTCTGTGGCTCAGCTTCATGAGTCCCTGCTCTGTACAGGGGAGCCTCTTCCCAATCAACTCTCATTTCTCACATGGTGCTCGTACTCTGACTCGGGAGTGGATTTGCAAGTATATGTATTAAAGGGTAAAAGAACAAACACGACAAAGACACCAATCTGTGATTCCTTCTAAATGTCTCACTGCCAGCCTGGCTATAAAATAACCAGAACTCTAGTTTGTCCTTCACACTAGCTTAGCTCTAGAGAGAGTGAGTTCTTTTTTTTACTTGGAGCAGTCCAGGCCAGCAGTGGTCCAGTCCAGGCCAGCAGAGGTCCAGTCCAGCAGCAGTCCAATCTAGGCCAGCAGTGGTCCAGTCCAGTCCAGCAGCAGTCCAGTCCAGTAGTGGTCCAGTCCAGTTGCAGTCCAGTCCAGTCTAGCAACAGTCCAGTCCAGCAGTGGTCTAGTCCAGTAGCTGTGCAGTCCAGTCCAGTTGAGGTCCAGTCCAGGCCAGCAGCAGTCCAGTCCAGTAGTGGTCCAGTCCAGTAGCAGTCCAGTCCAGTCTAGCAACAGTCCAGTCCAGCAGTGGTCTAGTCCAGTAGCTGTGCAGTCCAGTCCAGTTGAGGTCCAGTCCAGGCCAGCAGCAGTCCAGTCCAGTAGTGGTCCAGTCCAGTAGCAGTCCAGTCCAGTCTAGCAACAGTCCAGTCCAGCAGTGGTCTAGTCCAGTAGCTGTGCAGTCCAGTCCAGTTGAGGTCCAGTCCAGGCCAGCAGCAGTCTAGTCCAGCAGCAATCCAGTCCAACAGTGGTCTAGTCCAGTAGCTGTGCAGTCCAGTCCAGTAGAGGTCCAGTCCAGTCTAGCAGTGGTCCAATCCAGTAGTGGTCCAGTCCAGTAGCGGTCCAGTCCAGTCTAGCAGGAGTCCAGTCCAGCAGTGGTCTAGTCGAGTAGCTGTGCAGTCCAGTCCAGTAGAGGTCCAGTCCTGGCCAGCAGCAGTCTAGTCCAGACCATCACCGGTTCAGTCCAGTTCAGCAGCGGTCCAGTCCAGGCCAGCAGCAGTCCAGTCCAGTCCAGTCCAGCAGCGGTCTAGTCCAGACCACCAGCAGTCCAGTCCAGCAGCAGTCCAGTCTGAGGTGTCGCCCGCAGTGCTGTGACACTCTTGGCTGTGAGCCTCCCGCTCCGGAGAGGGGCGTCAGGTGATGTGTGCAGGAAGTGGAAACCCTCCGGTCAGATGAGGAGCCCACAGCCCCTGGGCCATGTGATGTGTGAGGAAGTGCAGGCAGGAAGCATGCTCCTCAAACTGGCCCTGAGCTCTCTGAGGAGCTATTGTAGGCAAGGAGCCACCAGTAAAACTAAGCAGTCAGGAGAACAAGAAAACCTTCTGTCTTCTCAATCCATTCATTTTTTAGCTCCTTCACAGTCCTCATGTCTACATTTTCCCCTTGTAATTTATTCTTTCTTGGCTTCCGTCCATCATCATCATCAGGAACACACTCATTCTTGAAGCACAGGACGGTGTTGTCCTGGATCCCATTCCTGAAGCACAGGACACAAGGTGGGATATTTCCTGGCAGGGAATACACACACACACACACAATTCAATTCAAGCTTTATTGTCCCACAGCACGCTCCCAACATTACAACACCAGCAATGACTGACACAGTTGTACCAACCAGGACGCCAGTGTAAACAGTGTTACAGCAAGGTAAGGGAGAAGATAGTTCAGCTCAGGTTCCGATACAAAGACATGAGGAAATCAGCAGAACATAAACACAGAACAGCAGCCACAACAACAAGTTAACACACAACTTTGAAAGTTGTCAGCAGTGTGAGAAGCAAAAAAAAACACACACATCAGTGTGAGTAGTAATTTAGGTATAGCGATGTAGATGAGTTAGAATACATTGTTGTAAAGAGATATTGCAGTGGGTATGAAAGATTTCATGTGTCTATTAGTATTACACCTGGGGACACAATTTGATACAGCCTGTTTTGAGGGGTCAAGGGCACATAATAATAATAATAATAATAATAATAATAATAATAATAATAATAATTGCTTACACTTCTATAGCGCTTTTCTGGACACTCCACTCAAAGCTCTTTACAGGTAATGGGGATCCCCTCCACCACCACCAGTGTGTACCTCCATCTGGATAACATAACACCACCCCCATGACCTGAGCAGGATGAACTACCGGTCCACTCGGACTGGTTCTGCTTGGAACCAGTACTGACCCGGCCGGGCCCCACCGAGCTCCGGCCATCTCACCAGATCACCTCAGCTCTCCAGAGCTCAGGAGCTGAGCTTATCTCTGTTGCTGTGTCATTTTTATTTCTTCCGTTGTTTCAGTTAGAGGCTGCAAAGGTAGGCAGGAATATGAGAAAATATCTTTTGTCCCATTGCTCCCCAACTGATAACTGTACTTTACCCCCAGTGGAGTTCACGAGCTCAGATAAGCGCTTATCACCTCTGGGACGGTTTTCTCTGGAAGAAACTCAGTTGCACACAGTTTTCTGCTGTGGACAGGTATTGAACAGGTGGAAGACGGAGAGAGCTGGCATGGTGTCAGACCCGGGACACAGCGCATGCAGTAACCGGGCAGAAACAGATTTAGCGGGGCGGTGTGGTGGCTCTGTGGCTCAGGATCTAGAGATAGATAGATAATACTTTATTAATCTCGTAGGGAAATTGATAGGGAAATCGATGTGTTACAGCAGTCCAGCCCAAGACAAGCAAA